TGGCATTATATCATTCGCATACGTGTCTGAGTGCAGAGAGCAGAGTGGTTGATGAAAGCGATGCCGATTTGACACGTAAGGCATTGCATAGTTTTTTTTTATTGCTCCTCTTTCGAGGCTCTTTGTTTGTCGTCCCTAGACAAGATGTTTTATCCTGTGCATGGCTTTCATTTTTTTTGTGCCATTTATTCCCTTTTAGATCATGTTTTTCCACCAATACGGCGAATTATGGCTTTCCTAATCACGATAAGATTCACTGTGCCACGCAATTCTTATGAAGACGCTACTTCATTTGGTCACGTCACGAGCACAGCGTTATGTAATTGTTTTCTTTTTTCTCCAAATTACCTCACGCGGTGCTGTCACGATAGAATCATCGCCAGAGCTGGGCGTCCCACAGCGTGCTGTCGGCGCCTCGTGCCGTAAACTGCCGAGCCATTGCCTGGTGACAGTGCCTCCAGGCGGGACGGACATCTGGCGAACGTGACCCGTCTGCCCGCCGCTCCGTCCACCACCTGAGGCGCCTGTGTGACACTTTGGGGACGCTCCGGCTCGTGTGTGGTCAGAATGCGGTGTTATATCTGAGGCAGGCAGTTACACCGTGTCGTGGTGATGGCTGGTGCTCCGAGCGATATGCTCCGAGCACATCGTTCTACCTCGTGAAACAGGTCGCGCCCGTGAGGCTCCACGAATGGATGCATGTGCCGCTGACCTGAGTTATGGACGAAACACGGCTGACTCCCTTACGGATATCTTCCCTAGATGGACTGGCTTTTAGTTTGCAAAAACGCACGCTGACTACGCATAAAAAGACATCCTACGACGTGCACCGTGCACCACGCCGTGCACAGTCCGTGCACCACGCCGTGCACAGTCTGTGCACGGCGCCGTGCACAGTCTGAGCACCGTTACCGATCACCGCCTTAGCGAACAGCGTATTAGCATGTCGGTTAATGTCACTGCCCAAACTGGTCACGGACCCACGCAGCGAGCGCGTGATGACCTGCGTTACTGCGTACGTGGAACCGTCCTCGGTGGTCAAACTGAGGAGACCGCAGGTATCGGAATTAGTGACAAGGAGTGTTCGATTTTCTAAGAAGGTCGTGTGAAATATACGGTGGGGGGTTGAATGTGGAACTGACACTTCAAGGTGTCGGTTCCATATTCTCCTGGTTCGCGGTCCACCGTACACCGTCCACCGTCCACCGCCCACTGCCGTCCACTGTCGTCCACCGTCCCCATCCACCGTCCCATCCACCGTCCACCATCCCCGTCCACCGTCCACCGCACGCCGCAATCCACTGTCTACTGTCCACCACTCTCCACCGCCTACCCTGCACGCTCCATATCGTCCCCCGTCCACCGCCCTCACACAGTACACCGTGTGACACTGTCTGACACTGCCCTCGGCTGTCACCGAGCCCGTCGGCCATCGGGGGCGACGCTGATGTCACTATCGAGCTCGACGGCGCTCTGATGGCCGCTATATGGCGCCGTGAACGAGCCGGGCCGCTGGCCGGCCGTCCCCGCCGCCCCGATGGCGAGGGAACCGCGACCGCCGCCGGACGATAGCGGAGCTTTGTAGCGGCGCCCGGCAGATAGGCCGGCGCCTATGGCGGGGAGATGGCCCCCGTGGGCTGCCACCGCTGTGCGGTGCCCCCGACAATGGCAGCGGAGCGGTTATCAGAGGGGTTTCATTCAGTTGTCAGCTCTACTCAGGCTTGTTGACAAGCATCGGTGCCGGTCAGTAAACCTAATCAAGACGCTCTATATCCGCGTCCACTATAATTCGTTTTATAAATATAAGGTGACAACTCCTTCCAACAGCCCGAAACACAGCCTCGTATTTGCAGTGGCACGACCCAGCAGCGCACTATTTCAAGCGTTAAATTCAAATGTGCTGGGACCGGTGCTCATACACAATGTGGCGACTTTCAGCGCGCCTGCCTAAAGCCATTGGAGACTCCCACCTCCTCGCGTTTCGCCATTCACTGGCGACAGTGACGACGCCCATTTCAATGTCGGCACACCGACAAAATAGCCACCACGCCGGATCCCAATTTCGGCGTCTCCCAAGGGATTGCAAACAATCGCTCGGAAAGCGTTAGCCTAGATGAAAGGAATCGTGCGGACCTTGATGTTCTGTCTCGGAAAACCTTAAACACTCGCCTTCATCACTAAACGACGATTAACTCTGAACGTTTTTTTAATAAAAATCGGCTTATAGGCAGTTTTGTAAGGGATATACGCCCATCAGAGTTTTTCGTTCAATGATGAATTTAATCTGTTAAATTATATAATTTTTATTCAGCTTCTAAAAAAACGCACATTTATCATCTCACTCTCATTTTATCTCGCTGTCTCTCTCTCTCTCTCTCTCTCTCTCTCTCTCTCTCTCTCTCTCTCTCTCTCTCTCTCTCTCTCTCTCTCTCTCTCTCTCTCTCTCTCTCTCTCTCTCTCTCTCTCTCTCTCTCTCTCTCTCTCTCTCTCTCTCTCTCTCTCTCTCCCATTCCCATACCCAACCCTCCAAAGACCTGTTCCACTGCCATTTGTCCACATTCCCGCGTCTGTAGTAGCAGCTTCTGTTAGCGTGCGCAGAATAACCGGGCCACTGCTCCTGCCCCTTGTCATTAGCCGTCAGATTGAAGCTCGTGCGGGGGCGGATCGTCTGACGGATGTCTCCTAGGTTGGACTGAAATGTCGCCTCTTTCGGCGCTCACTGGCAGTCGTGTGCAGGTCGTGGGCCACTAGTGCCATTGGGGTCAAGTGCCGTGGCGGCTCGTTGTCGGAGGGGACGCGTTTCGGAGACTGCTGTTTCTAGGAAGAATGTAGTTAGGAGCCTCAGCTTATGCTGGATGGATAGGGGTAGGTCCTGGAAGAGGATGGTGCTGTCAGATGTGCGGCCCAAGGCCCTGTGCGGCTGAGGAGGGATAGTCTCGAGCCGCGAGCCTGAAATGCAGTATACGAAGAGAAGAGAGAATGTTAGCAAAATAGTCAGCGGCACAGGGTGAGAAACGGGATGGAGTATGCTGGCGAGCTATTTGGACGGACGTGAGGGCTGTCTGTCACATTGCGGGAAGCGGGAAGTGTTCAGTGTCTTGAAGAAGAAAAAATAATGTTTTTTTTACTAAGTGCCATAGCCATTGGAGCAATTGCTCAGCCCGGATGTGTTGATGATCGACTCTCGACCTCAGGTCATGGTGCTCTGGGTTCTGCGCCGGAGTTGTCACACGCGCCGCCAGCTGTGAGCCATCGCGCGCGTCCCGGTCGTAACCCAGCGGTCGGCAGTTTGGACGGGTGGCGGACCGGGAAGTTGGGCCATCGGGTGCGCACCGCGGGACCATACTGGTCGCGACCGGCACCGTTCCGTGTCACCCAGTGGAGACAGGTGACAGTGACACGCGCACCAGGTCCGATCGGTCCATATGCGGCGGCTAATGGTGATGTTTCAGTAGAACCTCGGGGAAGTAGGAACGCTATTTATGTTTTATCGCACTTGTTTCCACTTAAATTAAGTTTGATGGCATAATGAAATCAATTAACTTTTCAGAAGCAGCATTAGCAAGATTTTGTTTGGTATCTATGTAAATATGAAATCATTTTGGGCAGCTTACCAGTACCTATCGTTCTTGGAGGAAAGTACGAGTAGGTATAAAACATATAATTAACCAATATAAAAGACCGAACATGCCACTCATTTAAATGGAAAATGACAACCTCACTAGAAAAGAAACACTTACTGCGCTCTGTCAATAAAACTAAATGGTGCCTTATAAATCACCTCAAACTCACTTAACCAGCGGCTTCGGGGACTGTGCGTGCTTCCATCACGTCTTGTTTGATCAATCGCGCGCGAGTGTAATTTGTGTCAACTATGGCTCGGACTCCAGTGCCGATTCACCCCCCCCCCTCCCTCTCCACTCCTCCTCCCCTGTGGAAATGGCGGAAACGCCGCCTGCGACACCTTTGAAATGTTCTATCACTGCATGTCTTTTCTAGTGAAAATGCTAATGCTTTCCTTGGCAGGGAGCCAACGTGGGCGACGAAAAGGCTGCATGCAGTTCTCATGAGCTCAGTTTCACCTATATAAGCTAGCATTCAATTTATAAGTTGACACCGTTCGGTGCTTCTATCCTCAGGATACTGAAATCCTTCTCCTCCACGCCGCAACCCCCTCCGGGCTGGACAGGCAACTTTATCTCATGCGGGCTGCTCCCTTGGAGCGGCACCGCTGCTCCCGAGGGAGCGCACCCCGTAGCCGGGTGCAGTGAGTGCCTTGGGGCTGGGTGGCCTGTCCTCTGGACGGGCTCAGCCCCGGCGACTCACTAGGGTGCCTGCCCAGACCAATGTCTCCCCCTATATCCTATCATCCTCCCGGCTCTGAAATGGTCTCATTGGACCGAAAGGGCCTAACCCAACAAAACAAACAAACAAAATCATAAGTTGATTACGAAAAATGTTACCTGCAGTGTCTTACGCTTATTATGGACTACCTTTGTCCTGAGTTCCCTTGTATTACCTCGATAGCTCAACTGCCCTAAGCTAACAAGCAATGCTGCTGTTTCTGCCTTACTTAAAGCAACTTTTATTGCGACAAGCAGGGCAAACAATGCAGCCTTCGGCTTGATGCTCGTTACCAAAGCTAGAAACTGCGTCACAGCCTTCCTTGTTCTGTTTTATAACATTATATACCTGGTAATCACAATCTGCGCTAACGGTTGCAAATGTGAAAGGCTCCAGACACCGTTTCCGTTATAGAGCACTGTTGTTCTGTGAGGCTGGTACAGGCTTCTTTTTGAGTCATCAAAGCTGAAATGAAGAACGGAGGCGGAGCCGACCTTCACATGCCAGGAAAGTCTGGGTGATAGTCGCTTTCCAGACTGTAAGCCGTGGTGGACAGACTGAAACTGGATCAGACTAACTAGCTCCGACGAATCAATGGACAGACCAGACAGTATACCAAACAGACAGTGTTGTCGCCGCCGCCCTCCAATACACAGTTGTCAAATTAGTCCATGTATTCCAACTGGTTTTCTGAAAATGTAGAAAAACACTATCAATTGCGATGAAGATAAACATAAAACCATAAACACCTTCTCCAATAGCGATCGAATTGTTTTCACATCGACAGAGCCCACCCCATGAGGTAGACTTCCCAGTGCGTTCATAGTTCCCCTCAGCTGAATCGCAAACGTCTCCAGGCCTTCTACGTCATCTGCCTTCACACTGGAGTATCTCAACAAATTTTCTACAAGTCCGGCTGCTACTTGAACTGGACTCCCATATCGACGGTCCAGCAAACTCATGGCTTCCGCAAAGCCTCGCTCAGGTGGCAGATGCAAGCATGTGGCTACGATTTCTCGTGGTCTTCCAACAGTATATTGATGCAAGTAATGTAATTTCTCCTCCTCATGACTGACTCTTGACACTATATTACTGTGAAAAGCGCGCATGAAGCATTTGTATTTGCCTACTTCTCCATCAACAGTTGACATTTCTAAATTCGGTAGATGAAACCGCTTCAGCAACGGGCCGGGAGGTGCACGCGGAGCCACGACAACTTACGGCACGGAGACGTTGTGCTCATTGTTGACAACTTGGTCCCAAGAGGTGTGTGGCCGCTGGGTGTGATCGAGGTCACGAAGGAAAGTTCCGATGGAAGAGTCAGGTCGGTAAAGGTACGATCACAGGGAAGTACTTTCTGGCGGCCCATCCACAAGGTGGTGAAAATAACAGAAGGATCGGCGACACAATGATTTGATGACCGAGGACATCAAATGGGCCGGGTGTTAGTGCCGAATCCGCAACTGTCCTAACGTCCATTTGTTGAGTTTTCCCGACATATTAGCAGAGGAAGGCAGGTGCAGAAAAGACGAAACGACAGCGAATTTAAAATAATTGAAATAATAACAGCGATATCATTGAAACGGCACCGTACCTTGCGTTCAGCTTCTCGTCGTCCGCTTACTTCATGATTTCGGTCGAGTAACCAAATCCAAAACTGTTGTCGCCGCCGCCCTCCAATACACAGTTGTCAAATTAGTCCATGTATTCCAACTGGTTTTCTGAAAACGTAGAAAAACACTATCAATTGCGATGAAGATAAACATAAAACCATAAACACATACACAATTTGGACTATGAAACAATGTTACAAGAATACAATAGGCTGGTTGTTTCAAATCGTTTCACTCACGGATTGTTTCGGCTCAGGCTCTTGGGCGACAACTTGCATTTATCGTTTCCTTTTCGTTTCGTTTCTTCAATTTTGCTTCGTATTTTCGTTCGTTCGCTTCGTATTTCGTTCTTTCGAATCAACAGAACAGAAGACAAAGATAACTTAAACAACACAAATCTAACTTAAACTAACATATCTCAGCCTACTTAATATTTTCTTTTTGACTCTAAATCGCGAGACAGAACTGGTAAACGAACAAAACGATGGAAGGCATGTGCAAAACGTGCCTAACAACTTGCATCTTGACGAAGAAATTTATTTGCGGATTCGGCACTAACAGACAGCCTTGACGTATTACTCGTAGATACTGGTCTAAGGAATCTCGAAGTCTGTCAAGTCTGTACCATTCAAAGGACAGTCTGGGCCTGGGATTAGTCTGAAGTCCACACTGCATCAGTCTAGTACACTCTGCGGTCTATCCAATCTGTACCGGTATGGGGTAGCCCGACAGTCCTGTATCAGTCAAGGGCAGACTGTCAGTTCAGTCTGTACCAGTATAGGACAGTCTGACATTCCTGTATCAGTCTGGGTCAGACTGTCAGTCCAGTCTGCACCGGTAAAGGGCAGCGGTAAGGCCGACCCTGGCCCGACCTACAGATGGTGAGGGGCCCAGCTCGGCCTCTATGCCCTCAGAGGGAGAGACGAAGCCAGCGCGAACCGGACCGTATGCTGGCCTGTCTGCCCAGCCCGCCGCCGTTCTTACAGCCAGCAGCACAGCGATGGCCCGAATTAAACTGGTTCGCACCAGTTTGGTGGGATTTGAAGGCTGGAACTCCAAGGAGGAAAATAAGAACGCTGAAACGAAAAAAGGACAGAGGCAATTGGCAATGGGCATACATATTCGGCATAATGTTCGTGTAAAACAAAATATGGAAGCTAGGTTCATCCATCTTTGATTTGATTTATATCTGTTTTGCACCTCAACGCGACGTGAATGCTGCAGGAATAGAAAAAGGTCGCCTCAAATGTGGAGGCATTTGATTACATATCCTTCTCGTTCCGGCATGTCACGAGCATACCCTCTTATTCACAGTCATTTGTAACGATGTCAAATGGATGTGTAAATCAGATCCGGCCTGTGTTTGGTGTGTCCGCGGCGCATATGAATCATGTTGTCTACCTTTTGTGCCGGTGTTAACCCGGCAGGCGGTGGGCCTACCAGCCACCTTCCGCGCGGTGGGGGGGGGGCACTTTTTTGCCCCCCCCCCCGTATCTCCGAAACTACTGGACAGATCCGGAAAATTCAAACAGCGTTCGATAGCCCTGTCGAATTTGTTGAAAGAAACCAAATTTCATTGACCTCGGGGTCACCGATGACGTCACAGGTCAGGTCAAAGATAAAATGTTTCACCGTTCACCGTTCTAGGGAAAGCGCTATAACACCGAGTAAAACGCATTTTGTCGAAAATCAGCGATAAGGCGTCAGTTGTCTTGTACATATGTTGCTATTAGAGGTCACTGGTCATACCAGGTCAGGTCACAGGTCAGGTCACCAAAGGTCACCAAGGGTCACCATATGAGCCCAACTTTACTAAGGTTATGCGATGCATGTTTTATGGCCAGTTTTTCATTTCCAACTCAATGGTGTTGGTTATAAGACCATCAGGCACGGTTTAGGTCACTTTCTGGTGGAGGTCAGGTCAAGGTCAGGTCAAAAAAGGTCTAATTTCAAAGTTGATATTTTTGCATAAAATGGGTATCTATTCGATGCAGCTCGTCACGGGGAGTCTAATGGTGGTCTTTGTTTTGCGCTACAAGGTCTACAATTGCTAAAAATTGAGTTTGAAAATTTGACGCCATCAATTTTGAACAGTTTTTTTCACTATAACTTGGCCAAAAAAAGAGATATCGATCTCAAATTTGGTATGTAGATAGAAGGTGGTAGGGGCTATCACATATATTCCGTTTTTTCGAAATTCAAAAAAACTTTTAGGATTTTTTGGCTATTATATTTGAAAAATATATTTTTTGATTTTTGGGGGTCAAAATCCAAAAAAATCGAAAAACCGAAACAGCAGTTTTGTAGCCTTTTAACCCGCGCCCCGCTGGGCTATTCAGCCATACGCTCCCTGCTGGGGGGGGGGCAGATTCTGCCCCCCTGTCTAACTTCCGAACCGATGGTCGTAGAAAGACGGGGAAAACGGCAATCGAAAGCTCTCAACAAGGCGGATCTTAAGAGCCCAATTTTTTTTGCTTAAGTAGGTCAGAGGTCAGGTCAAGGTCAGGTCAAGGGTACAAAATGCAAGTTTCTACAGTATCGGCCTTGCACCGTAGTTGCCGAAGAATGGACTAAGACTGATTGCCCAAAACGTGTTCTTAGACTACCACGACAATATTCGTTGCACACAATGTCATTCAAAGGTCAAGGTCAAGGTCAGGTCAGGTCAGGTCAGGTCACCAAAAACAAAATATAGAAAAGGGCATGTGCGACACATGTTTTATGTGTCATTTTACTCATGGAATTCAATGGGCACACTCAATAAGTGATATGGACCACCTCTGGATGAATTTCAGGTCGAGGTCAGGTCAAGGTCAGGTCAAGTGAGGTCAAATTTTGAAGTTGGTTGTTAAGGCCTAAAAAGATGTCTATCCGATGCAGTTTTTCACGGCGAATCGAATGGTGCTATTTTTGTTTCCGTACGAGGTCTAGAACTTCCAAAAAAAATCATTTTTCAAAAAAATTGTGTGTCGTGAAGTCATAAAATTTTGAATAACTCCCACATTTTTGAACCGATTGTTCTAAAAATTGGTATGTAGGTGCACATAGACAACTTCTTTGACATATATTCCGGTTTTTTAGATAAACTCAAAATTTTGGATTTTATAAATATTTTTCCAAAAAAGTCAGTTTTTTGGAAAAATTTTGGCCAAAATCCAAAATTTTCAAAAAATCGAGATAGCCATTTGATAGACAAGGAAGAATCACGTATAAACTTTTTTGTTACGTCTTGCTTCCTTTAAAAATGAAGATGTTAGCGGCGTTTGAAATTTTGCCATTTTTGAGGCGAAAATGGCGAACATGACGTCACTAAAACATCAATTTCTCAAAAATATTTCCGACGGATTTCGCTCAAATTTTCAGGGAACGTGTCAAATTGATGTATGATAAGGTACTGAAAGTTTGACGTCGCTGGCGTAACGCGTTTAGAAGTTATTGGCGAAAAACGGGGGGGGGCGCGGGTTAAATTCCACACCTCTTATGTCTGAAGCATTTTTTTGTATCTCTAAAGCTGTAGGCCTGACAGCTCTTCCCGCGAAACCTTTTTTTGGGTCGAAAATGGCAAAAATGACGTCACTCTGACGTCATTAGCGGCCAACCTATCATAGCCTTTGGAAAAATTTTTGGTCACCATGTGCGCTAGCTGCTCCCGGGAGGATACTGAAAGTTTTGTGACGATCGGTGCAGCGGTTCTCGAGATATATCGAAAAAACTAAGGGGGGGGGGGCAAAAAAATGCCCCCCCCACCGCCTGGAAGGTTAAAGGCTGCAGCAAGTGATCGCGCATTACCCTTACTAAATGCATTTCACTGAGTATTAGCTGCATATCCGTTTCTAAAAGATACGTGTGATAGTCTTTATCCGGCTAAGGGAAATGAAAAAAAGAATATTTTGTGCTCAATTTTTGCGATTACCTTGTTATCCACCCTTTGAGGAAGAATCAGGTGAGATCGGCACATTTGCATACACTTCGTTGCGTATTACCTATAGGGAAAAGGAAAATGTGCCCATTGCCAGAATAGGTAGCAATACTGTATTGGGTCTGTAGCCAAATAGTTTCGATGCTGAATCTTGGGAATCAGGAGATAATTATCCTAATCATTTTTTTTTCAAATTTTTATATTTCCTGGGAGTCCCCAACTGATCACTTTTACTTTGATACTCCAGTTGTTTTGAATAGACTATCATCCAACTTTAAATGGGAATGCTTTCATAACGTTTTCACTTTTCTGTTCGAGAAAGCAGCTCGGAAAGTCTTGACCACGCCGCCATTTCAAACACTTCCTCAAACTGAGCGCCTGCCCATGACAGCTGAAATAAGTTTCGAGCATCCCGAGCAGTGTCTTGGCTGAAGGGAGTCGCGCGGTCCAAATTAGGCCATTGTCTACAGTCTGCGGCAGGGTGTTGCTCATTTTGGTGGGCCGTTGGTGGAGCTGTCTAACGCCTGATACAGGCCGATATACGGGACAGGGGACTTCGGTGCGCCTCATGCGTTGTGCTGCTGCGTATTGCCCTCGCATGTATGCATGCTTGCTTGTGTTAAGAAGGTAGAAAACGGGCTGGTAAGTTTTAAGCAGTACAATGGTGTGTTCGGAGTCGGAATTAAATTTTTCAATCACCTTCTAGCCCTTTCTATGCTTTCCGAAGCACGTCTCCTGTGAGTTTATGTGCTTTCTGACATAGATCACCGCAAACACATACATGCCACGTCCAGTATGTTCCAAGTCTTGACCTAGAGGTTACAGTTCATATGAATTATTCACGCTCTTGTAAATGATGATTCTGCCTAAAATCATGAACCGAGAAATGCATATCGTGACAACTCTTCCGGAGGCAAGATAGTTTTCCAATGACTCAAATATCATTGCTACAGAGGACAATGTTTGGTCTGGTTCTGGTCTACATGTCATGTGCTGGTATGTTTACTTGACACAAAATCAAAATTATGATGGAAGACAATGGAAACGCCATGGTTGATTTCCTAAGTACCTCTTCGAAGTGCTCGTCTGCGGAATATTGTTATTATCTAATGAAATTATGTTGATGCATGTCCCCATCAATAAACTAAAAACGCCATGCGGCTATTCTGGAGGCCTTAATGGGTCTCATTCAGTAGAGTGCTGCCATTTCGAAGTCGGGACGGCCCGTACTGTCGTTCCGAGCCTGCGACCGGTCTGTAACGCTGTCCCCAGACAACGAGCAGATCATGCCGTCCTTCTGGGGCTCTGAACCGATGGGATGTGTCTGCTGTTAGTCCATGACTTCAAGCGGACTGTGCTGTATCGTCTAGACCATCACGCCCTGTCCCGCTTGGTCTCATCCGACCCCGTTCGATCCCAGCTCGTTCGGCCTCCTTTCTCGCCGCAGCTCGACCTAGCTCTGTCCGGACTCTTTTCCTGGCCAACGAGGGGACAATGTCCGCGTCGATGACAAAAAGCGGCGTCGCCAGTGGTGACGAACGGACCGGCGGACGTCGCGCCGGGAGAGGGCGGACCCCGCCGGCCAGTGCCGACACCGACATCGCTCACCACTCGGAGA